TGAGTCTTGTGGTTGATGACTTAATGAAGGAAGAGTGTTGAGGCTTGTAGTTGACAACTTAATGAAGGAAGAGTGTTGAGGCTTGTAGTTGATGACTTAATGAAGGAAGAGTGATGAGTCTTGTAGTTGACAACTTAATGAAGGAAGAGTGTTGAGTCTTGTAGTTGACAAATAAATTAAGGAAGAGTGTTGAGTCTTGTAGTTGACAACTTACTCAAGGAAGAGTGTCGAGTCTTGTAGTTGATGACTTAATGAAGGAAGAGTGATGAGCTTGTAGTTGACAACTTAATGAAGGAAGAGTGTTGAGTCTTGTAGTTGACAAATAAATTAAGGAAGAGTGTTGAGTCTTGTAGTTGACAACTTACTCAAGGAAGAGTGTCGAGTCTTGTAGTTGATGACTTACTCAAGGAAGAGTGTTGAGTCTTGTAGTTGACAACTTAATGAAGGAAGAGTGTTGAGTCTTGTAGTTGACAAATAAATTAAGGAAGAGTGTTGAGTCTTGTAGTTGACAACTTACTCAAGGAAGAGTGTCGAGTCTTGTAGTTGATGACTTAATGAAGGAAGAGTGATGAGGCTTGTAGTTGACAACTAAATCAAGGAAGAATATTGAAGCATGTAATTTTAAGTATGGCCAGAATGAACTTGTAAATAAAGGCCTTTGGGTATGGTTAGAACACTAGTGTATGATCATGATATTTCTGTCTACTTTGTAAGTTAATATGTATGTCTTAAACAGCTCTACAATTTTTATAAAACTGGTAGCTTAATGCATAGACTAGATAAAGATTTCCAATTCACTTAACAATTAATAGAAGGAATGAACTGAAGATTTATATAAGTTAAAACTTATAAACATTGTTTATGTTACTAAATGTGTTTTTGTTTTATAATTATAAACATTGTATATGTTACTAAATGTGTTTTTGTTTTATGATTATAAACATTGTATATGTTACTAAATGTGTTTTTGTTTTATAATTATAAACATTGTATATGTTACTAAATGTGTTTTTGTTT